ATATATCACCAAGGTAGATTATATGTAAATAATATTTTTTTATCTATAAATAAAATAAATTATGTGTCAGTTTGGTTTGAGTTTGGATCTGATTCTTTTTTTTTTTCTAATACCAAACCAAATTAAGAGTGATCGATTTTTTATTTAATCGCCAAACCAATCAAACCAAATCATAAGTCAATTTTTTTCCGATTTGATTTAATTAGTCGATTCGATTTGACTTAATAATTCCATTCGTACATCCCTAGATATAAAATAGCTTTTGATTTATGATATTTTAACCATCGATAACTTTTTTAATACAAAGAAGATACCAAAATTCTAAAAATGGGAGAGGCGCAGGTCACCCATTAACCTTGTAATGCGCAAGGACCTTGCGTCCCCTTCTGACAAAAAAATCTTCAGTTTTTACACTATTTACATTGCGCATTATTTATCTAATTTTAGTACCATAAAATTTACTGTGTAAATTTTGCTCTTTTGGTTCCAAATTTAATTGTATTGCCCTTTTGTCCTTGGCTCTTATTTGCCTGTTGCGTACACGAGATTACTATTATTAACGAAGGAGTATCTGCCCTGATTTTCATTAGTTGAACAAATACTAAAGCCCACGCAATTACACACAAACAAAATTCACACTTTGTTTTCTAGTATGGAAAAAGAAAAAGAAGAGTTGTTCTGATTTTTGCTTAATTGGGAAGTTACTCTTACAGTTATGGCTGGGGATTTTCCTTCTTGAATTTAGCATAATCAGCGAGCAAATTATTTCTTACTTTATGTTGCATACTCTCCGCCATATTCTTCATGACCTGTTAATTATCATCACACATATATAAAAGTCGAACAATAATATATATATATATAAAGAAAGTGTGTGAGAAACTAACCGCTTGCGTGACATCTTTGTGAACATGTGGAGGGACCAACGCAAGCATGGGAGGTGGAGCGAAGCTAATGCTCATGTGTAAACGACCTTTGATCCTGCTAATTCTTCTATCTGGGTAAAGTACACCTTCCATGCTAAGACGGAATTCTGATGGCTTGTTTTTTCCCTCTGTTACTCCTTCTAGATCCCATTTTGTCTGCATATAAATAATACATTTATGCTGTACTAATTCGATCCGATCCAATACTTTTTAACTATATATATATGTACATACAATTTTGAACTCAAGAACCATAGAAGTATGGTTTGGAACGCCAGGAGGGTATTCTTTTCCGTTAGTTTTGCATCTAAGTCTCATGTTAACAACTGGCCACGCTGTGAGGAACAAGAAACCTATTGGTTCCATTCGAATTCTCCATTCTTCCTGCACCATCATGTATACTTTAATTAACTAATTGATTATTGTGTCATTTCAATTACACATACTAATTAATTACCTCGTTTATACGTTGGGTTCCTCTGTTATCAGGGGAAATAGCTTTCAAAACTCTTGGTTTGTCCTCCATGTACCTATCGAAAGATGCCTGAGCAGATAAAACTAATCATTTATCAAATAACAACACAAACTCAGAAGAGATTGTGAACTTACATGGGGGGATTCAAAGAGGGGCATGTCAGCTAAAATGGTGATTTGTGAATCGTAACTCTGTTGATGAGCCTTAATGGGATTATAGTATTTTGTTTCATATTCATGGAATGGAGTCAACACTCGTATATTTCTCTTGAATAATTGAAACCCTCTGCTTCTGATTTTCCCCTGCTGCAACGTTGCACAAACAGAGGGAACTGCCACTGCCACAAAACCTACTTTCATGATCGATTAGTTGATAATTTGAGTTTTAAAATATGTATATATACTCTAATGGAGTTGTTTGCGTGGAAGTTGCATCTATTTTGAGAAAGGGCAAGCGTTATGCCATCATGTATTTGTTGTTTAGACGCCATTTACTTTACTAGTTGATTGTGTAATTGACCTACCCGTCTTCTTTTTACATCTAAACATTTCCATCTTATTCAACCTATATAGTAATTGACAGATACTCTGATTTTTCGGAAAAAAATATTAAACGCCAATTTCTGTATTTTCCTTTGAAAAATATCATTGACAAATCACAACTTCTAAACTGAATGAATTACAAAAATATATTTCTTATAATGTTATAACTTATATCTGTGGTAGGTTTCTTTTGTTTACTCTATTATCTTAAAATTTCAGAATCTTACATAAGCTACTACTAAGTGTTTGAGATAGTATTTTACGATTCAAAATATGAAAAATTGTAAACACTAAAAAGTTAAACATAATCCAATATTTATCATATATATAAATTATCTTTATCATTTATAAGTGTAATTTTTAACGAAGGAAAACGTCTCTACGTGGCTTAGTCCTTGTTAATACCCCTACACATGTATACATATGCCAACTTAGATTAAAAAGGGAAGAGAATTTTTAATGTCTTTTATTCAATTTTTTAATATTTGAATTGATCGAAAACTTAAAAGAATTGAGACGTGAAAGAATGTGAGTTCCAATACAATAAGCATATGAGTGGTTTCTTATTATGATAATCATGTGGATAAAATATTTCACGTGAGATAATTAATTTTAAAATTAATTAATAATATCTCAAATCAAATATAAAATAAATAAATCTTCCAAACCAATTAGCCTTATCGATTGTATCAATCAACCTCTTACACAACTTTGTCAAGGAATGATATGCACGAAATATGATCATTTGGAGCCTAAATTTTGAAATAGTTGAAAAGTTTGGACTTGTTGGCTAAATATTTGAACTAGAGAGGAAGTTACGTAATATTTACAAATTGGACGCGATTTTGCCGTGGTTTGCGGAAGAAAGAGAAACACGGAGAAGGTGGCACGACGCCGTTTTGTTTCTTCTAAGATATAGGAGGATTTGCTCAGTTCAAGATCTGTATAATCGGAATTGAAGAGTTTAGAATCCCTGCAAAAATGTCTTACTACCCTAAAGGCCACCACGATGACGACGGCACTGAATTTGATGAGTACGATCCAACTCCTTATGGTGGTGGATACGACATTGCTTTGACTTATGGTCGCCCACTTCCGCCATCTGAGGAAACCTGTTATCAGCCTTCCTCAGCTTCTGATGAGTTCGACTATGATCGTCCTCAGTACACTTCGTATGCTGAGCCTTCTGCTTATGGTGATGAGGCTCTTGATAATGAGTACCAGAGCTATTCGAGGCCTAAGCCTCGCCCCACCCCTTCTTATCGTCCATCTGAGGAAACTCATACTTATGAGCAGCCTCAAGCTGATTATGGGTTTCAGCCTGGGGTGAATCGCCCTGGCGGAGAAAGTGAATATGGATCTGGGTATGGACGGAAGAGTGAGTATGAAGAAGAGCCCACATCAGAATATGGATCTGGGTATGGGAGAAAGAGTGAGTACGAAGAGCCTAAACCCCAGTATGGATCTGGGTATGGAAGGAAGAGTGAGTATGAAGAGCCTAGTTCTGAGTATGGATCTGGGTATGGGAGGAAGAGTGAGTATGAAGAACCCACTCCCCAATATGGATCTGGGTATGGGAGGAAGAGTGAGTATCAAGAGCCAAGTTCTGAATACGGATCTGGGTATGGGAGAAAGAGTGAATATGAAGAACCCACTCCCCAGTATGGAAGGAGAAGCGAGTATGAAGAACCCGCTTCCGAATACGGATCAGGGTATCGGAAGAAGAGTGAATACGAGGAGCCAAGCTCTGAATACGGGTCGGGTTATGGGCGTAGGAACGAATCCGAAGAATACGGATCTGGTGGCTATGGCAGGAAGCCTAGCTATGGACAAGAGGAAGGTGAGAGGCCGAGTTATGGGCGTCCAAGCTACCAGGCTGAGGAAGGCGAAGGGTACGAGAGGCCTCACTATGGAAGATCCGAGGAGGACTACAGGAAACCCAGCTACGAGAGGCGTGGTGATGATGATGAAGGCTATGGTCGCAAGAAATATGTGAGCACTCAATTTCTCTTCTTTGTATTAATTGAATTTTTCGCTCTTGATCTTGATCCTTTTAGGTTTAGTTGAAGTATATTTGGTAAAATCTTTTGCCTTCAATTTACTAGTGATTAAACCGAATGATCATTATAGCTAGATAGATGACGCCTCATCTTAACTCTTACATTAGATGAACAAAGGAAACCTTTGATAGTGTGGCAAGAAACATATAAGGAGATCCTTTTGATTCTGATTTTGATAGAAAATGCTGCTGGTAAGATGAATAGTTCTTCACTTAGCTCATTAATTTGCGTTGGAACAAGTTGTTTCGAAATTAATTATTCGAGATTGTTACTCCAATGTGGGGATCAAAATAACACTATAATCCCGTGATAAGTTATCCCACATTTTAATCCCAACTAGACATGAAACAAACTCATCCTAAATTAATCCTTTAGTAATGCCTTGTACCAAACAAGCGCTTAGTTTTAATCCACACTTCTCGCAGAACAAAGTAAAGGATAACAATGGGGTTAGGGGCAGGCACATATTTGCCATAATGTTAACTACAAAAAGCTTAGTGTGTTAAAGACATGTCTCTGATTGTTAAAGTCCGTTAGGATTAGAGTTAAGTTTTTGAAGTTATTACAATTGAATCCATTACATATGCTGAAATTGTTGGTGACAATTTATGCTGTGAGGATAAATATATTTGTCACAACTCAAATTGTCATAATACATTTTGGGTTATTTTCATAATTAGAGGGGCCGAATCGATAAATTCACATTTTTTGCATTTAAAATACCCTCTGAATTTTAAATAACTAAACCAACTACTAAACCACTATCCAATTTTCCAAAACACTGCAAGCAATATAACCCCAAGAAATAATCTTGCCCAAAAAAATAACCCTATCAAATTCAAACCGTTGTTTTCCATTATTCTCTTGTACCAATCTTTTTGTTCTACTAGTGTTGTTTCTTCATTTTCAACATTTGATTTTTTTTTCAATCTCTTTTTTATTTATAAATTTCATCTCATGAGCAAGTATGTCATGGTGTTTTTAATGGGAAAATAATAAGATATGTACTTGACTTTGGCAAAAATGTGCAAAATAACTATTGAAATTGGTGAAAGCTTCCACTAACACTCCAATGTTTATTTTTGCACATTCTTGCTAAGTTGAGCATATACCTTAATTTTTCCCCCTTAGAAACAACATAAACATACTAACCCATGAGATGAAATTTATAAACGAAAGAGGGAGAGAAAATAGCTGGACGTTGAAAAAGGAGAAACAACAATGGAAGATAAAAATAAAGATTGAAACAAGAGAGTATTGGAGTGGATAAAGAATGGGAGGAAAATGTGAATTTACTGATCCACTCTTGTCAACCCCTCTAATTACGAAAATAACCCCAAAACACTATTTTTGTGAACAAATCCATCAGATGAAGATAAATTTTATTCTGGGCGAGGCACACATACTGTCAGTGTGTGAGGTCTTTCTTGGCTGCCACGTGTATACGGCGGGACCCATAATGTACTTATTTTCCTGCTTTTTCTTTTTCTTTTTTACTTGCATTTTCTTTTTTTCTTATTAATTCTCAAGTGTAAATTTTATTTTTTTTGTTTTAATAAAGAAAACTTTGAAACAAAAATAAATAAATAACCAAGAATCGAGTGATTAAAAACACATTTGATGACTAAGAATTGAGTTATGTAAAAACAATTCTTAGTATTTTTATCATGAACATTAATACTAATCATAAACAGAAATTTAAAAAAAATACATATTTGATGACTAACATTTGAGTGATTAAAAATGAAATCTCAAGAAAATAATAGAAATTAATGACTAAAATTTAAATAATTAAAATTAAATTATACATTTAAGTGTAATAAATAATGCCGATTAAATTTTACTAGTTTAATTGGTTGATTATATGAATTTTTACTTTTATTGAAGAAATTCAAAAAAAGGTTAAATTTCTCTATGCTTAACTTTTTTGAGTTCATTCAAAAATAAGTATTATTTGTCCCACAGTGGCAGCCAAATGAGGCCTGTGTGCCTCGCCCAGAATAAAATTTTTTATCAAATGAATATTTGATCCGTACACCATGAATTTTCAGACATGTCAAGTGTGAGGCAAATGCATTATCCACTTGTTTTTGTTTAATCCATGTGATAATTGGCAGGGTGAGGACAACTCCGACGACGATGACGAGGAGAAGAAACATCGCTACCACCACCACCGCAAACACTACGATGATTGAGCAGAGAGAGTGAGTGCTTTATGATCCATGTCATACTATCAATACTAAATAAAAGTTGGCATGTTTCTGCAAATGTTGTTCTTTGCGTGTTTGCTATGGATGTGTTGCTTATTTTGTTATTTGTGTGAGGTATATTTTGCCTCCTCTATACTGGAAAACAATATCCCAGACATTTTTCAGGGTAAATATGTCATGAATAAATGAACTCTGTGATTGGTCGTTTTATTATATGTCTTTGATTTCTAGTTTTTATCGTGCTCTTTTAATTCTGGAAGTGAGTATGAGAACTTTGCGAAGTCATTTGTGACATGGTTCTTCAATTTACTAAACATTGGTAATTGATTTGGGTATTGGTAAATCCCAGCCATCTCATTGTTCAACAACAAAAATTACTCTTCAAACGGTTACTTATGTTGGTCCTTTCTTGTCAATTTTAGCTAAACACTTTCCCTCTTGCTTTGTAAAAGCTCTTGGAAGCTCCCTCTTGGAAAATTGGCCTTGCTGCCTCCTCCCAAACTTGGTTGCCTTTCTTGCTTTCATTCTTGCCTTTATTTTCTGTTTTGTGGCTTTGCTTGTGGACTCTTGCTTTAGATTCTTTGGACGTTTGGTTGGACTGAAGTTAGAAGAGCCGTGCAAGCCTTCTTGACTGTCCTTCACGGT